CTTCAATCGATTAGAGCAACATCGATCTTGACACTTCAAGATGGATTCAAGCCTTTGTCTTTATCCAAAAGATTCCACCATGTTCGATCGATCCAACTTATCTTCGATCGATCGAAATTATTCAATCTTATCCACACCTGCCACCCCGCCTAATATTTTTGTCTCTTTCCCAAAATATCCCAAAATATCTCAGAGATTTGTCTTTATTCAAAAAGGCGCCGCCAAGGATGATCGATCTCTGCAGCATTCGATGGATCTCACCTCAGTTCAATCAATCTCAACATAGTTCAATCGATCGAACCTCCTCAAGTCTGAAATAAAATAAATTCCAGCTCATTAAAAGTTGGCTTATGGTGCAATCATTGCAAGGACCCTAGTGCACGAATCCAAATCATTAGGTGTGACACTTGAGCCTCCTATATAAGGATTTTGAGCCATTTATATCAAATGATCTTCATATCTTCAATACACATATCATATCTCATATCTTGGAGAGGAGGCTAGAGACTAGAGAGCTTTTACACATCTTTGGGAGTTCTTCCATTCTTCTAGGGTTCCATCAAGAAGGAGGTCATGCTTACCATGGAGATAGCCCTTGAGGGTTGGATGACTACTTCAATGAGTGGCTAGACATCTACTTGGGGCTAGAGTAGCCCCTAAGTTTGCTTCCTAGACCTAGTGTTTTGTATATTTTTGGGGATTTGCTTGTAATAAATGTTTTGATCTTGGATTTATATATATATCTTGTGGTTTCTATTTGACGTGTATGGATTTTAATGCTTTTAATTGATTCTCTATCTCTAACCATATGTCTATGTATGCTAGAATAAATGATTCATGTGCTTTTCTCTAGATTTAGTGGAGTTTATGCATGTCTATGTGTATGGATGAAGTTAATCTAGAGATGGTCAAAACATAATGCTTAATTGAACACTTTTGTAATTTATTTGATGGTTCACACTTGTTTCTTGATGGATTGTGCCACACCTTTAGCTTACTTAGTTCAATTTCCATGTCTTTAGTGTAGATGTAGTGTAGTTGCTTTAGATTCATAGATAGGTGTGTTCCATACTTATGAATGCAATTGTTGCATGCTTCTAGATAATTGTGTGTGCATAAATTATGATTTCATTGAATGGATTTTGGTTTCATTTGATAGGTTGTACTTTCTATTTGAATTGGTTAGACAATCTATACTTATTTGCCATCCATGCCTAGTTTTAATTAATGTCACACACACACACACAAGTTACAATTCAATTTCCCTCATTGATTTGCAATTGCTAGTGTCTAGTGAAGTCAAGCTTAGTGGTGAGTTCTAGTACCCCAAGTCCTCTCCTCTATATCTTTTACCTACATTCTAAATTGTTACCCTTTTACTTGCTTTAATTTCAATTGCATTGTAGTTTAATCAACCAAACAAACCATCTTTTGATCACTTGACCTACTAACCCTATATATTGTTTCCATTGCAAGTACGCCCATAATCCTTTGGGACGATCCCTACTCACCTTAGCTATATTTTTAGTTAGAGGTAGTAATGGCTTTTATAAATTTGAAACTTGGCCACATTGCACACTCACACTCTTAGTGCATCTTTAAACGTTGGTGCCGTGATGACACACCAGAGACCTGGCCAGCTATGTCCAGGTTAAGGAGCAGAATAGCCCAGATGATCAAGCAAGGAGAAACCCATGGGCAAACCCTCACGAGGGTAAACTAGTTAGAGTCATTAATGCAATTCATGGGCAACCCGAAGCAAAGGATGAGTAAGAGGAACTAAGGCGAACACTCATCTGGCAGGTTCACAAGATGAGATGAGTGGGGAGCTTAAATACGATTCGTCAAGATGGAGACGTGGCCCTGATTATATTTGAAAAAATTGACCTTTTAAGGGTACAAACCCCACATGAGGACCCATTGGTGATCAGCCTAATGGTGTCAAACTGCTTTATCAAAAGAGTTTTAGTGGATCCTGGCAGCAGTGCCAACATCATAACAAATGTGGCGTTCGAACAGTTGATGGTGGATCCGAAGCAAATCAGGTCCACGGGGAATCCCTTGGCGAGTTTTGATGGAAATCGAGTAGAACCCATTGGGGTTGTTTAGCTGCCAGTATGTGTTGCACGAAGAAACTTAAAGGAGAACTTTGTCATAATAGATGTTTATCCTTCTTACAACCTCCTGATGGGAAGGGGGTGGATCCACGGAGTACAAAATGTTTTGCCCACTGATAAGTGCTGGATATTTCATATTCAAGCCCTTAAACATGCATCATTAATACCTTAGCATTGTCTTTATCTCAGTTTTATACTTATTTTAGAATATTTGTGTTTTGTAGGTCATTTCCCGAAGAATAGGACAAAACCACGATTCTGGAGCTCAAAGAGATGTTCCCGGAGCTTATAAAGATATACTGGACCTTTTGAGATTATTTTGGGAGATAGTTTGGGGTAGTTGAAGAAATTGGCTAAGTATATTTGTTCTCAAGCATAAACACCCTTAGGAAGTTGAAAAGACACCTTGGAAGTTCCAAGTCCCATAGCTCGGGCATTGGCCAAAATGCTCAAGCACAAGATTTTGTGCTCGAGCACAAAATCAAGAAAGTTAGAATATATTCTAAGTGTTGGGAGAAAAGACGTTTCGAAAATAATTGATGAAAAAATGGCTAAGTGTAGAAAAAATGCTCAAGCACAAAAATTTGTGCTCGAGCATTATTGATTCTGGAAATTTCTTTAAGTGTAGGATTATTATATAATTTGTCCTTTTAAGTTCCAGACGGCCCAGATGACCCCAGAAGTCCTAAAGCCCATCCAAAAAGGAGTAGGATTCAGTTTCTCCTATAAAATTAAGAAAGTATAAAAGGCCACAAAGAAATAAATGTAGCAATTTTCAGATCTCGTGGCTGCTTTTAGGGTTTTGGAGTTCTTTTAGAAGATTAAAGAAGAAGATCCCAAGAAGAAGAGTTGCAGTCCATGAAGATGCTTTCTACACTAACAATGATGCTATCATCCATCTTCACAAGTAGCTAAATCTTCTCTTAAGGCATTGATGTAACCCGAATCTGAATAATATAGTTTGATTGTTCTTTAACTTTACGAATTTTCATTGTTTATGTATTTTAATTGCATGATTATGAGCAATTGACTTAGGATTTCTAAGCAATTGGAGTTTTAATGAATAAACTTGATTTTTGATAAAATTAATGTCTTGTCTTAGAATTGATTTTACTTTAATCAAATTTGAACTATTCTTATTGTTTGAGATTGGCGGCTAAGGGCTTCTCATAACGATTTGAATAATGATCATGCAATAGTGCTTTAATTGTATTGTGAATAAATGTTTTGATAATTTATGCTTAGGGAAGATGAATTATTCTATAATTTAGTTTAGAGTAGTTAGGTAGATAATTCGTGCCAACCGAAGATAGGTTATTTCTTAACGTAAATTCATGATTTATCTTCTTAAAATTGAATTAAATTGGATGTTAATTCATTTAATTCTGGATTATGCATAAATATTGAAATCCCTAAAGGTGAATCAATTGACTATATTATGAGGTTCGTGGTGAAGTCAAGCCCTAAGCATTTCTTGTCTTGATCTCAATTGTTGTTCTACTTGCTTATTTTTACTTTTCATATTATTTAGATATAATTAACACATAAAATCTTCTCTTTAAATTAAATTAGCAGTTAATTTTACACTTGACAATCCAACACAGTCCTTGAGGTTCGACACCCTAAACATAGCCCTATCCTATAAGGATTCATACTATTGCAAGTGGTTTTTACTATTAAAAACATACACATCAATTTTTGACTTTTTTTAATTTGTGCTCGAGCACATCCACCCTATATTAAGTAATGAGATGCTTGAGTCTAGATGGGAGCGAGGTGATTGACATCCATGGGGACTAAGTAGTTGCAAAGGAATGATATGTGGTGACACTTAAGGGTAAGGCAATCGCCCATGCTGTGAGCCTGAAATAGCAGTTAGATAACCCTTTGCCCAACAAGATAGAGATAGGGGTGGAGGAGTCGGTTCTCACGATGGAACCACTCGAAGAAGTGCAGATCGACCCCTTGGAACTAGGAAGAATATCGAAGATAAGATCGATGTAGACTACGGAGGAAAAGTAGATGTTAATTGGAATCTTAAAGAGAAGCATTGATATATTCACCTGGAGTCACTAAGACATGCCAAGAGTCAATCCATCCTTTTCTCGCCACTGCCTTAATGTGGATCCATATTTCAAACCCGTCTGACAGAAGCAAAGAAGGTTTGCGCTAGAGCAAAATCAAATCATAGCAGAAGAGGTGGACAGATTGCTGGAGGCAGGATTCATCAGAGAAGTTCAGTATCCCTCCTGGTTGTCCAATGTGGTGGTCGTCCTAAAGAAAAATGGAAAGTGGAGAGTCTTGTTGGTTCTATTGTTTGCTCTTTTAATGTTAAAAGAAGATATTGTTTGAAGTGCTATCTTCTAGGGGTTGTTTGGCAACTATAAGGTCACAAGGGGTATTTGTGTCATTCCACACATGTAAATGGTCAACCTATACTTGCTTGAGATGGTGCATTGTGTATTAGAGCTTAGATAAATATTTCTAAGGACTTAACAGTGGCTGCAAAACAGTGAGTGCTATGTAGAGTTCTCAAGGGCAATTTTGGCAATTCATTACACATAAATATACACTACATTGTGTCCTTCATAAGGCTTACACGTGCTCAATGGTCCTGCTGTGGGCATTGGTGGACGTGATATTCAATTTCTTGGCCAAAAAGCTTATCTTCTTTTTCTACAGCTGGTGTGTGCAAGTGTTTGTGTGTACAAGGCCAATGTAGGGTCTGTCAAAGAAAAGTGGTCCACACACCTAAGGATTTACAGAAAATACTCTATAACCTGATTGGTACACGATTATTCAGCCTTATCCTCAGCTAGGGTTTCAAGTTGAAGACTATAAATACAATGTTATAGCAGCAGCCTGCTTTAAGCCTCATTTGCTGAACTTTACAAATCTCTAGAGGGGCTGCATTTCAAGAAGTCTTTGAGAGAAACTCGAGAGAATCAATATCATGGAAGTTTTCTGAGTATGTGGTAAATTAAGGGAGCTGAAAATACCTCAGAATAACACCTGTGAGAGTATACAACTTGAGGATGAAAATGAGGCCTATTTGTAGCTGATTTCCTGGTGCAAATTGGTGTTTAGAGAGGTCCAAACCTACTGTGAGTATTCTAAGAACTGAAGTTGAGCTTAAGCAAATGTATTTTGCTACTTTACAACTATTCTAAGTGACCACAAGCACATATTACCACTACAGTAAGTTTCAGTATCTCAAAACTGCTATATTTAATTTTCTGGTGCAAATATCTGCTGATATGAAGTGTGAATATGGGTATCTATTTGAGAAGTGTATTTATAACACCTGAGCATGATTGAAATATGTAATTAAAGCTGCTCAAATTGATATCTGTAAAGAGAACCATCTTAGCAGCTTTGTTGTTCTTAAATACTACTTGAGCTAGAGTATTAAAAGTTGAGTTAATTAAAATCACTGAGAGTGATATAACATATTACTTCTATCTAGATTATCCATTAAACATGATTAGTATATTGAAACAATGCTGGGGACCTAAGTTTCGAATTGCTATATGCTGAAATTTCAGTTTTGCCCTTCAGAACAATGATAGTTGTGTTTCTGCAGAAAATAGCCTGATGTGAGAGCTGTAACTACAATATACTTATTTGATTGCTATGTTATTCATCTGAGCACATGTAATTTGATTATATAAGACTGTTTGCATTGTGAGCTGGTATGTTTGGCTGTGAAATTACAGTCTTGTCCCTTAGAGCAAAATCACATCAGAGTTTTGTCTTGAAGAACTCCTTGAACTGAAATTAAGTGTTATCTGGCTATATATTGAGTATTACTGATCTGAGCAAGTTCTATATGTTGAGTAAATGTTGCTGAAAGCTACAGTGAGCCTAAGTTGATGCTGCATTGCACTTTGACCCACCAAACCTAACATCTGCAGAATTCTACAAGAAAGAATTTGAAGCTTCAGTTTAAGTACTTGAACTGTGAACCTCTTGTGAGCTGAGATCTGTTTATATTGTTGTGGTCAGTGTGTTGATTAACTGAGCTAGTGTCTATTGAGTTAATTAAGGCTGTGAAATTAGAGAAAGGGTGAATACTGAAGCTACATTATACATTTATTGATCTGCCATTGAAATCTATTATGAAGCCTATTGTGGATTGTTTACTTCTCTTCTTGGTGTGTTGATTGAATTTATCATTCAAGCAAGTTTATATTGAAGTTTAAAAACCGTGAAAGCATTGAAAAGGGCTGAGGTGAATCTGCACTGTGATATGACCTTTCAACCCTTGATTTTAGGGTTTAAGCCTATTGGGAGCTATCATTGTGTTACCTTGCTTATCTAATTGAGTAGATCACTCAAGCAAGCGTATTTGGCTGAGACAAGGCTGGGGGAACCTAGTTTGATCATCATGTGAAGTTGCATTGGGTTTTTGACAGATCTATCCCTCTTGTTGCAGAGAAGTTAAAACTAGTGTTTCATTGTGTTCTACACTTAAGGCTGTATATTACATTCTTACATTGTGTTGCAGCTTAAGTGCATTGTACTTAGTGTATTGACACTTCATTGTAAATGGTAGTGGGGCTTTGATACCTCACCCCATTGTTGATTAAGCTAATGAGAGCTTTTGGGTCCAAGCAAGGTTGCTTAGGACAGGGGGAGTGCTTGTGAGCATATTGGTGAGCTAGTGTGTGTGTATTGGTTGTGAAAACTAGTGTCTATTCTTGTACAAGGGTGTGTGCAGAGAGTGAGACAGCTGAGTGTTTAACAAGATACATACAGCTAGTGGATGATTTATTGGCTGAGGCCAAGAACCAAGGTTTTTTCCTATTGAGTGGGTTTCCTTGTATATCTTGTGTCATGTGCTTGATTTGTGTTGATTGGTTTTGTTGACCAAGAAAAGAAAGTTTAAATAGACCAATTCACCCCCCCTTTTAGTCTAACAAGTCTGCATTGATTTCATAAACTTAAATAAGGCTTATCTGAAAGACAGTTTCCCCTTTTAAAAATTGACCAAATGGTAGACGCAACCACTGGGTACGAGCGTTTAACCTTCCTGGATGCATATTCAGGCTACAATCAAATACCCATGCACCCAGATGATAAAAAGAAGAAATCTTTCATAACAGTTTGAGGAACCTATTACTACAAAGTAACGCGCTTAGTAGAAGATACCTAAGGTGCTAACCTTGGACTCCCTTGAGCCACACATTATACATACGGGATAAAAGAAAACCGAGATCATACTTGGGGATTTTATAGCATTTAATTCACAAAATCAATTTTCAACAATAATATTTAAGAATTTCAACACAAGTATGCATAGAATGCAATGTAATGCCCCATATTTCCCAACTTTGGTCTCAACCGACCCTTACTTGGCCTCTATTGGTCCTAAACTTGGTCTTTACCAACCTACAACTCACATTTGAAAACCGCTAACTGACTTTACCGAAGCGAGATTGATTTACTATCCTTGGTTCTAAATCCAACAACCATTTGGGGCCTAGAAATCTACTTTTCATGTCCTAAATCGGCAAACACTCCCTCTAGGTCGGATTAGCACCAGACTTTTGAAATTCGGTTCTTTTTTTATAAAATCTTTTCAAAACCCATTTTCTTAATCAAATTCCCCAACCATGCTATGCATGTAACTATGGCACGAACGTAACATTTTCTAGAATTCAAATCTATTCACAACATACCCATCAATTTGATCATAAGCATAGCATTTTCATTTAAATAGAGCACAACATGTCACTTTGTTGTAACCACTTACAAGAATGCTCATCATAAAATCTCATGTCATCACAAATCATGCTACAATTTATATATTAAGCAACTTTGCGCCAAAATCATGCAATACACATACTTATCATGAAATTAAACACATATTTGTTCGCATACTAGCATGTTTCCACACTTTAACAAATTCCTATTAAAAAATTAATAATTGAGAAAACAGAGACAATATCAACAAAGCCCAAGGGATTTGATTTTTTTTTTTCACAAAATTATACTCCTAAATGGGAGTTGACTTTGGCGGGTCCCCATGATTTGAATGACTGGATTTTCTGATCACAAATACGTAACATTTCATATACTCCATATTATTATTATTTTTTATTGTTGGCATTTTTTATTTTTTTTCATTTTTTTTCCCACAAGATTATAAATATGTAAAAAGTTTTGAGTATGACTACATTGACTAGTCAATATTTGAATACTACACACATGACCGTTATTCGGTTAAATTACACTTTGAAATCGCTTAAAAGAAACGCGGCTGCTAACGGGAAAAGCTAAAATATCAGAGAGCCCAAGGAAACAGAAGAACCCTGTTCTCTTGCTTGTTTAAAACCCTAAGATTGATTGTCGGTCTTTTTTCTGTCCTCCAAAGCCTTGCTGGATTTTTATTTTCTCCAAACCCTAATCCTAATTCAAGGTCTGTTACATTCTCTCTCCATATATACGGAGTATTATATTATATAGTCGTGTATAAACCCTAATTTCAAGAAGCATTTGAAAATTGGTGAAATAGAAGAGGTAAAAGATGAAGAGAAAGCAAGAACTTGAGCTTCAATACAAGGTTGAACAGAAGAGTGCGTGTAAATTTGGAGATGGAGTGGCATGGTTAAGAGGGGCGATGATAGGGAAAGGAAGTTACGGGTCAGTTTATTTCGCGGATTCCAAGAAACCGAGATTGCGATATAGCTATTTGCCTTCAGTTATTGCTGTGAAATCTGCTGAGGTCTCTATTTCAGGTTCAATCCAGAAGGAGAGAGAGGTTTTGAGTAACATCCAATGGTGCCCTTATATTATTCGATGTTTTGGGGATGAGATCACGACCAGTGAAAATGGTGAGATGGTGTATAATTTGTTGTTGGAGTATGGTCCTGGAGGAACCCTAGCTGGTTTGATTAAGAAATCAAGCGGTTGTGGGTTGCCTGAATCCGATGTTAGGTGCTATACGAGGTCAATTCTTCGAGGGCTTAATCACATTCATGAGAGTCGTTATGTTCACTGTGATATGAAGCCTGAGAACATAATACTTCTGCCTATTACTACAGGTGCTGTTACCAAATTTAAGGCCAAGATTGGTGATTTTGGGTTGGCGAAGAGGGTGGAAAAGAACGATCCTTATTTGAGAGGCACTCCTCTATATTTGTCGCCCGAAGCTGTGGTTGATAACATACGAGAGCCTCCCTCTGATGTTTGGGCTCTTGGCTGTATTGTGCTTGAGATGCTAACAGGGAAGCCGCCTTGGGATACGAAAGAAGATCAGGATGCCGAGAGCCTTCTACGTCAGATTGGTAAAGGGTGTACATTGCCTACAATTCCAAGCAAGATATCAAAAGAGGGGAGGGATTTCTTGAAGTGTTGTTTTGTGAGGACGGCCAAGTTTAGATTGACAGCTGAAATGCTACTGAACCACCCATATATAGAAGGATTAGTTGATGATGATGGAGAAGTTGAACAAGAGGACGAAGTCTTTAATGCGGACCTGTCATTTACGTTCTCTGATAATGATGATGAGTTCAGTTCTTACGGCTTCTCGGATGATTGTAGCTTCATATCTGAAGGAGACTCCTTCTATTCTTCGTCAGAAGAAGATGTAGAGGAGATGGATAATGAAGTGGTTTCTAGTTTTGCTGAAGAAGAAGCATCAGAAGTTCAAGAAAGGGTGGACATTACAAAGTCTAGCAATGCTCCTGAACTCGACCAGGTTTCATCAATCAAAATGCAGCAGTGTCCAATTGCTTTTGCCATTCCTGCTGGACTATAGCACTTACTGTGTCAGTACATTTAGTCATTCTTAAAAAGTGTATTTAGAGGTCATTTTACAAAGAGCTTTCTTACTGTACACATTACATTACGTCTTCACGTGTCATATTTGTTAAAAGTCCAGGAATTATTATTCTTTTCAATAGATAATAAACCCAGCATTTTAGTATGTTATAATTGTATTTCTTCCATTTCCAAGGAACCAGGCAGTTAAAATTATTATTGACATGAATATTATAATCAATTGTTACCTCCCATGAACTCTTGAGATACCCAACATGCACATGCAGACTGAAATATTTTCCTCAAGACTGTCATTCAATTATCAAGATTGTTCCTATATAAGAAAATCTGAAATTGTCTTAGCTAACTAGTAATCATGGGTGGTACAGACTGATGGCAGAAAAATGAGTCTTTGTGCAGCAGATATTCTCAGCTAAAAACTATTCATGAAACCAAAGTACATATTGCTGTTCATAAACTATGAATCAGACCAATTCTGAGAAACTTGGTCATCCGATCTCATTCATTTTCAATAAGCACATGTTAGATTTTTGGCCCACGTGGCTTCAAAGTTTATATTGAATTTTTTTTAATGAAGTCTTTTTTATTTGCATTCCATAGGGATTATGGATATGTATTGTCTCATATAATTAACTCCAAATTAAAATGGAGCAAGTTTACATCATGTGGTGTTGGTGAAATGATATGGTTGATACACTGAGAAGACACAGGAAAAACAACTTTTTTTTATTATTTGTTTTGTATCTTAAGATTTAAACAAGCCCAGTAGGCTTCCAAATCCAATACTTGATTTGATCGAGGGTTAATTAAATCTGATTTTATGTGTTTTACATGGTCTATTGTTTGAGGGTTAATCAAATCATTGTGTGTGGTTATGTTCACAGCAATATAGACCTGAGATCATTTTACTCTTGCCTGCTACTATTGTTAATACTATATGCATGATGAGCTTGGTAATTGTGGGTTGTCAAGAAGGCAAAAAACCGGAGATTTGATCATTACTTGAGAGGCACCTCCCCCAGTATTTGGGCTCATGGCCTTCTTGTGCATGAATTGCTACTAGCAAAGTCTCTTTGATATAGGTAACAAGATTTGGTGAAGGTCATGAATTGCCTAAAATCCGAAGTAAGATACTGAAAGTGGGAAAGGGATGTCTTCTAAAGAAGGCATGTATGGACAGACTGCTGAAATGGTGTTATATCAATCATTTTTTGCAGGATTGTCGAAAATAAATGTTTAAGTTGGGGAGAATGAAGAATTAGAAGAGGTTTCAGATGCAGATCGTTGTTCTTGTGTGATTGATGACAATGATAATGATTCTTGATCAGGTGAATCGAGCATCAAACCTGACAAAGATTTGTTCCAGTTCACTCCTCCCAGCATCCCTAGTGGGCAGAATCAACACTAGGTAATTACATTTCCTTTCTTTTCTTTAATTCAAGTCTTTTTTTTTTTTTTTTTTCCTAAATAATTCAAATCTTTCCATTGTGATTCACTAGTTGTGACATTAGTGGTGATGACGTTATATGATTTCTTCATTCCATTGAAATCTCTAAATTAGATTTTGTGAATTTATCTCAAGATTTATGTTCAAATCTAGTAGTTCTAATTTAGAAATAGAGATGCTATATAGGTAATTTTATTGTGACTAGGAAATTGTAATTTCTTCTCTCATTTTGTGCTAGTGAAAGAGCATGGGCACTATAATCCAATCATACCTCTCTTAATGAACGGCACCAATTCAGGGAATATAAATATATATATATTGTTGAAGGATATATATATATAAGTTATACTCTCTCTAAAAACTTAAGCTTTTGGAGTAGATGGTTGTTAACATGGTATCAGAACCAAAGGTCTCGAGTTCAAACCTCACAGTCACCCTAATAAATAATTGAAAAACACGTGTTGGACCAAAAAGAAGGCCATGCGTAAGGGGGTGTGTTGAATGATATGTATAAAAATTAAAGTTGCACCCTCTCTAACAGCTTAAACTTTTCGATAAGATGTTTGTTAACTTGGTATTAGAGCCAAATGTCTCGTGTTCAGACCTCACCGTCACCCTGATAATTAAAATTGAAACATGTGTAGGACCAAAAGAAAGCCACACGTGAGGGGGCGTGTTGAAGGATTTATATATTTAAGTTACACTCTCTCTAACATCTCAAGCTTTTGGAGTAGATGGTTGTTAACATATATGAATGGCATGGCAACCACTTTCTATCAGCACTTTAGGTTAAAACTTGAGATTGTACAATTGAGTTACCTGAATGCCAAGATAGAACTTACCTATATGTAATACATGCCTTTAAATTTTACTTACACTTTGAATTGCATATTTGCTTGACATTTTTAAACTCCAACATGATATCCAACTATCAGTTCAAGAGATCTAAAACAATAAAAAATCATCTGTAACATTCATACTTCTCAACTTCCAAGTTGGAAATAATGTCCATCTAGACCTTTTTTTTTTTTTCCTCTAATCATGTTATTATATTTAAATGCTTAATTATCAGAAGAAACAGAAAAAATGGTTTAGATCTTAAAGATTTTAATTTTGTCTTCTCCTCACTAATTTTCTTGACTGCACATAAGTTGCATTTATATGCCTTAAAGATTTTAAGTTTCTCTTCTCCTCACTAATTGTTTTGACTGTACATAAGTTGCATTCCTGTGTGCTGAAATGTTTACAGTAGAAGGAAGTCAAGTAGAGCAGCGTTTAAAGACATTGCAAGGTGCCACAGAAAAGCAGGGAGGGACCACTCTCCAAATTATTATCAAAGAAGGTCCCCTTTATATGCGATATAAGGAGACTTCTCTGCACAAGATATCCTCTCTCTCTCTCTCTCTCTCATTATTTATTTATTTAGTTTTTGCATTGTGAATAAGATCTCATTTAATATCGCTTTTTGTGTCTGTTACTTTGGTTTTTTTTTTTTTGGTTTAAATCTTACTTTGCATATGGCTTTTCTTTCCAGAAATAGACTAAGGATTTACTGAGTTTTGAATTTTGGTATAAGTGTTTCACTATTGCTACATGATCAAGTATTAGTCTTACTCAATTCGTATGAAAATGGATGTATCAATATTGTTACATGGATAAATGATACTCGTAAAGACGGTTTGAAATTGATAGTTTGTTTGTTCTTGTTAAGCAGTAGGATCAGTATTAGAAATTGATACAATTGGAGAATATTTTTACATCAGCCTTGTGGGTTCTTCGTGGCTCTTAAAGAATCACCAAGTCAATGAATTTTGATACATAATGTCACCAGGGATGATTGTTTGGTACAGTGTAAAGTTCAGGCTGTAAAGCATCAGAATTCAATTTCTAGTCCAAGGGGTGCTCTTTATCAAAATAATGTCAAAGGTCAGGTATGTACCCAATCTACCACTCCTAGAACCTTCCATTAACAGATACACATTTTATATTGGTACACTAGCGCAGCAAGGTTGCAGAAAATAAGGAAGAATATCACAGCAATCGTTCTTTGCTATGAAGCATGGATATATTTCGAACACACACACACACACAAAAGAAGAAATGATTTTTCTTTCTTTTGCATCCTACAAGTAATTAAATGTCTCTCCAGTTCTATTTTTTTGTTAGAATTTTTTTTTCTATTTAAGTATGTTTAGACTGATTGTCCCTATATAAGAAAATATGAAATTGTCTTAGCTAACTAGTTTTACCAAATTGCCAGTATAAGATTGGCAAAGATGGTATATGCTATTTGATCTGCTTAATTCCAGACCTTTTTTTAACTATCTAGTTCTACATGTGTTATTGAAGCATTGAGTCGATAAAGATTAGATACAATCATGGGTGGTACGAACAAATGGCAGAAAAATGGATCTTTGTGCAGCAGATATTCTCAGCTAAAAACTATTCATGAAACCAAAGTACATATTGCTGTTCATAAACTATGACTCAGACCAATTCTGAGAAACTTGGTCATCCGATCTCAATTCATTTTCAGTAAACACATGTTAGATTTTTGGCCCTCGTGGCTTCAAAGTTTCCACAACTATAAATACATCCAGATTTTTATTGGATAGAGCACTAATAGGAAATGTCATACTATCAAAAATTATATTGAATTTTCTTTTCAATGAAGTCTTTTTTATTTGCATTCCATAGGGATTATGGATATTTATTGTCTTGTATAATTAACTCCAAATTAAAATGGAGCAAGTTTACATCATGTAGTGTTAGTGAAATGATCCGGTTGATACACTGAGAAGTAGAGGAAAAACAATTTATTTTATTTATTTATTTGTTTTGTATCTTAAGATTAAAACAAGACCAGTAGGCTTCCAAATCCAATAGTTGATTTGATCAAGGAAACAGGCAGCAGAGGGTTAATTAAATCTGATTTTATGTGTTTTACATGGTCTATTGTTTGAGGGTTAATCAAATCATTGTGTGTGGTTATGTTCACAGCAGTATCTTGCCTGCTACTGTTGTTAGTACTATATACATGACAAGCTTGGTAATTGTGGGTTGTCAAGAAGGCGAAAGGGAAGAAAAACCGGAGGTTTGATCATTACTTGAGCAGCACCTCCCCCAATATTTGGGCTTGTGGCCTTCTTGTGCATGAATTGGTAACAAGATTTGGTGAAGGTCGTGCATTGCCTAAAATCCGAAGTAAGATACTGAAAGAGGGAAATTTGAAAAGGGATGTCTTCTAAAGAAGTTATGTACAGACAGATTGCTGAGATGGTATTGGATTAATCGTTTGTAGCATGATTATCAAAAATAGATGTTTAAGTTGGGGAGAATGAAGAATTCGAAGAGGTTTCAGATGCAGTACATTGTTCTTGTGTGACCGATGACAATGGTAATGATTCTTGATCAGGTGAATCGAGCATCAATCCTGACAAGGATTTGTACCAGTTCACTCTTCCCAGCATCCCTAGTGGGCAGAATCAACACTAGAAAAAAATTGGTTTAGATCTTAAAGATTTAAATTTCTCTTCTCCTCACTAATTTTCTTGACTGCACATAATTTGCATTCATATGCCTTAAAGATTTTAAGTTTCTCTTCTCCTCGCTAATTTTTTTGACTGTGCATAATTGCATCCCTGTGTGCTGAAACGTTTACAGTAGAAGGAAGTCAAGTAGAGCAGCATTTAAAGACATTGCAAGGTGCCACAGAAAAGCAGCGAGGGACCACTCTCCAAATTATTATCAAAGACTGTCCCCTTTATATGCGATAAGGAGACTTCTCTGCTCAAGATATCCTCCCTCTCTCTCTCTCTTATTTTTTTTTATTTTTTATTTTTTATTTTTTATTTTTTTATTTTTTATTTTTTTTGCTTTTAAAATCATACTTTGTATATGGCTTTTCTTTCTAGATATAGACAAAGGATTCACTGAGTTTTGAATTTTGGTATAAGTATTCCACTATTGCTACATGGTCAAGTGTTAGTCTTACTCAATTCGTATGAAAATTGATGTATCAATATTGTTACATGCATAAATGATACTCGTAGATACATTTGAAATTGATAGTTTGTTCGTTCTTGTTAAGCAATAGGATCAGTATCAGAAATGGATACAATTGGAGAATATTTTTACATCAGACTTGTGGGTTCTTTGTGTCTCTTAAAGAATCACCAAGTCAATGAATTTTGATACATAATGTCACCAGGGATGATCATTTGGTACAATGTAAAAGTTCAGGCCGTAAAGCATGAGAATTCAATTTCGAGTCCAAGGGAAGCTCTTTATCAAAATAATGTCAAAGGTCAGGTATGTACTCCATCTACCACTCCCAGAACCTTCCATTGACAGATACACATTTTATATTCGCACACTAGTGCAGCAAGGTTGCAGAAAATAAGGAAGAATATCACAGCAATCGTTCTTTGCTATGAAGCATGATATATATCTAAAGGGGGAGATACCCTTGTCGGGTCCATGTCGGATATCAACACTCCTTAGATACTTGCGGATACGTGTCCAATACTTCCTAAATGTATTCATAATTTAGAATAATTATTATTTTTTTAATACATACCTGATACTTTTCTGATACTCCTATCACGTCTCTGATACTTTCATATTTCAGCATATATTTAACAAGTCTTAACTATTATGATGTAGCTTTTCCAAGTATGATATCATAATATAATTGTTGAGGAAAGTTATGGATGCCTTCAAAAAAGATGTATTAGAGACATTTATCATGACTAATTTATTCCAAATTTTATCCATGCAGTATAACTCCCCACTCCCAACTTGCTTCTCAGAATTTTTTAGAAGGAAATAATAGTAGCAATTTATATCATGACGAACAATTATTATTTTGAAGTTAATCTATATATATATATATATATATATATATAAAATTTTATACATATCTACATTATTATTATATATCTTGTCATGTCCTCGCCTTTTTTTATCCTATATTTTAAGAATTTGTCGTATTACCGTATTCATAACGTGTTGTGTTGTGTCATGTCATGTCATGTCTATATATCCCGTATCCGTATCCGTATCTGTGTCCATGTTTCATAAGGAATTGTGAAAAGTTTAGTTGACTTAAAAATGTAGGATATTTTCAAAACCAATTATGAAGTTAGGCCTGTTTCTTCATATATTTTTTAAAATGCTGATTTGTTTTACTGCTACTGAAATTGATTTTGCTCTCCTAGGTAGTGATTGGACCAATTCTTGGGCACTTTCATCAGTTCAACCCTTTGCATTTGACAACAAGATTCTTAAATCTGATGGATTTGAGGTACTCGATTAAGAAACCTGTTATTGTGATATTGTTTAACACCATAATAACATTTTTATATAATGAGAAGCAATATAATTAATTTCATGATCTGTTTGTAAGATACTTCTAAAGAGTGCAATAATTTTAGACCTATTCTGTTTTATTTCCTTTTTCATTTAATTATATAGTCCTATATTAATCAAACCCTGTTTGATTGCTAAAAATTGAGGAATATGGAACAAAAATCTGGATTGCTATGACCATTTCAGACTTGAATGGATGTTTTCAATGCTTGTATCAAGCTTATCAGCCATCAACAAATTTTGTTTAGTGGTAGCCGCTAAAGATATCAATCATATTTTAAAAGAGAAATTGGTATATTACACTTCCAGAACCTGAAACAGTGAATCATCAGTTGCCTCTTAAGAAACTCAGTGAATCAAGCTTACTTGATTTGGTTGTTATATGGTCTAAGTAGTTAGTGGCATGTAATAATATCAAGACAAATTCGTCTCTCTTCAACCTTTGTATTGATAATATTGCATTGTGGGGTGGACCTTGGAACAGATCACTTCTTGGGGTATTTACACTAACACTCAGATGGTTGCACTTTCTCATTCCACTTCATTGGATGAAATGGTGCATTTAAATGAGTTTTGAATGGCATGCATATGCCACATTTCCGTGAATAGAAGTTAATTTCTGAATGTTGGATGCTAAAGTGATACACTTAGATTTTCTGGTTAAGGGTTCTGGCAGGAAGCTACTTAAGGCTTTTTTTAAAGACGTTTAGCTGAAATGACCACATGGAAGCTAAAATATTGTTTTCACCTGTAGGATTCTGACTTTGGCATGAGACACTTTTATGCTGCATTTGATGTTTTTAGGGAAAACAAAATAAATTTTTGCACGTGAGCAGATAAATTGGAGGGTTTGTTCTTTAGAGCAGCCATTTGGTGCAAATAGTGCCAAAAGCTAAGCAATCCTCCCAGAACCCTTAATTATAAGAGATATTTAAATGCTACATTTTGGTCTTTAAAGATGAAATGCTGCATATTAACAATGAGAAGCCAATATTAAGCATTTTGACAGGAAAAAGGATGTGTTTGAGATGGCTAAAGATAAACTGCTGTTGCATTTTAACCACGAGAAACCAAAATGCTGGCAGCTAGAGGCCAACCAAAATGCTGCATCATGATAGTCAGATGCTTGAGTAAGAATAAAAAAAAGTCAGATGCTAAACTGATGCTTTTTTGTAGGGAGATTTAAATATGCTAGTTTTTGGCCTGTTCCGTAAAATGCTTTGAGTAGGGTGAATAACATGCTACATTTTGAAGGTAAGATAAATAAATGCTGCATTTCGTACGTACAAATTTATTCATTTACTGTTGCACAAATTATGGATGATATTTCATGATACCCCCCCATACCCCCCCCCCCCCCGCGTCTCTCTCTCCCTCTCCCTCTCCCTCTCTCTGCCACATATTCAGGGATGCAGGAAAAGTGATACCACATGTATTGATGTTGCCAGGTAATTCTGAAATTATTTCCTTGTCTCTTTTCTTTTCTTTTTTCCCCCTTTTTTCGCTGTGGTAGTTATTTATCATGTTTAAAAACCTAATCTATGTAATTATGGACAATGCAGAGAAGTGACAGATTATAATGAAAGTATGACGCATGGATTATTCACAAACTTTCTTATGAAGCAGAAACAAAACCGAGGAATCAAATAAAATGAAGAAACAAACCGACAGTGATAGTAAAGGTGAGTTATTTTTATCCCTCCTAACTAGTCCTTGAAGCAAATTTTTAGTAAAATTGACAAGATTCCTAGGCCCAATGACTTCAACTTTGCATCTATAACTCATGTTGATTTTGTACATATTCAATATCTATCATTAGAAACTCCAGTCAGATGCACAACACTGTAGTTTCCCTTGTACTGTTTCATTTCCTTTAATTTAACACTAAGGGTGTGTTCGGCTGCATGGAATTGGAGACTTGGAATTGGAATTTGTGGAATTTGAGACAATTTTGGTTCAATTTTCTTAGTTGTTTTTCTCCAATTCCATGCAACCGGACACACCCTAAAATCTGATATCATAACCTGAAGATCTATTTTTGGGGGGACGAGATAAAAGGAAGGGAGAGATTCTGGAATATTATAGTCCTTGCAGATGGAATTCACAAAATTTCGAATTTTCTCTCCTTCCATTTGCTAGATAGCCAAACAGAGCATGACTGAGTAGTTTATAAACTTTACTTCTACTAACAACCACTAAGAGGAAGAAACAATCTTATACTGTTTTGTTGACCTTTCAAATAGTGTCCCCGGGGTTTTAGAAATGATATCCAACAATACTCAAGTCAAATTCAACAAATCAACGTTTATTTGCTTTTCATTTCTTTTATTAATAGTTTGTTTCGCATATGGCACATTCATTTGATTTTGTTTTGTAGAACCCCAGAAAGAATAACACTTTGTAAAAAATTACTACAATATTGACAGAATCTCATGTCTTCATCAGAGGTAGTTCTTTGGTTCATTGTGAGTGAAACAGAGGATAACAAAAGAAAATGGAATTGGATAATCACCATTTTGTCCCCCAACTGCTGGTAAGATTCAGTTCTTCTTCTTCTTCTTTTTTTATTTTTTTAATTTCTGTTTTTTCTTTCTCACTGTTCTTTCTGCAATAAAACCGGATAACAAAGAAATTTGGTATTAAATCCTGATTTAGCAATAAAATGACAAGGCACGTTTGACTGTGATTTGTCTGTTTACCATGGTAACATCATCTGTAATGGTGCTCTTTATCGGGCTCTCCACATTTGTAAATGTAGAGAGCCATGCCAGCCCAATGGGCTGACGTGGCTCTCTACCTAAAGTGGCCAGTCCAGCCAATCAGTTTGGTCGCTGGGCTGGCCAAAATTTATTATTTTAAAAAATATATATTCAATTTTTTTCCCATAAATAATTTTAAAACTTATTTTTCAATTGTTTGCTTCTCATATATTTATTGACATTATACATATTTTAAAGGAAATAAACAAAAAGGCGTTATAAATATTTTCTCACAAATAAATAAATAAAATAAAAAGACATTATATAATGCCTTCATGCTGAATTGTGAAACTGATGTAGAACGTGAAAGCTGTGATACCAAATTTGACGCAGAACGTGTAGCTTGCTTTGATGAAATTCTAGAAATAGAATGAAAGAATATGATGGGAGTTAGAAGATGAGATGAGATAAGAAGAAAAAAGGGGAGACAGATGAAGGGGGTGAGGAAACAGAGTGAACAAATCAGCAAAAACATTAATGCAGGAGCCATGACATCCTTATCTGATTGCAGCCCTTAGGGTGGCCACCTAGTCTAGTGTAGCTTCATAGGCTAGTCTATACTTTACATCAATCTCCCCGACTGAGAAGAACTCTTCTCCGAAGAGTAAACCTGGTGGTACTGTTCGGAATCTAGATGACCTTTCATCTAACAAGATACTGATAAATTTTTCCAAGACTGAGTGACATGACTCTGATGGTTAAGAAGATCATCAATCTGGAAGTGTGGTAGAAGTGGAGTAGAAATTGACATTGATGCTGAAGAATATGCAGTTTCACCTGTAAGAACAAATGCCGACAAAATAGGAGGCTCAAAGGTGCCTTTTAGGTAACAAGTAATCCACATCAAAAACTAAATTACATACTCACATCTGATTTTAGGTCCCGTATTATGAATAATGTGGATACTTGGACAGTCAATGTTTGGAAGGAGTTCTTAGGATAAAATTATGGGTGCACAGGAATTAGAACATATATAACCCCCTTCAATGAATGCATGATTCCTACTATGAGCATGTGCAGCAAGTTCATAATATTTCTTACTCAAAACAATTTCTTGACGCATATTGGCATGAACATCATGGATAAGCTGAACAAAGGAATCAAGAAATTCAAGCGAATAGAAATATGGAGGTGAAGGATTTTGATCAATGGACTGGAATGAGAATGATTTATAGATAATCTTGAAAAAGAAATTACTGATTGATCAAACTAGTGTAAGCATACTCCATTATAGGCAAAAACTAGTCCCATATATTTAGGCATTTCAGCACAAGAAACCTATTAAAATATCCTGGGTTTCGCTTTATGACCTTAAATTGTGCATCAATCTGAAGATGGAATGCTGAGGGAAATTTCAAATTGGTTCCTAAAAGCGTCCAAAGTGTCTTCCAAAACTAACTTTTGTATTTGACATCCCTATATGACACAATGGCAAAATTATCTTGAATGTGGCCGGAGCAGTTAGAGAGGCGAAGGTGGCGTTGTAGGTGCTGGCGTTGTGGAGGGAGGAAAGACACTTCCTTGTATGATTCTAACCAAAAGATGGATTCACGGCGAGAAAGATGGATAACAGATCAGATGTACTTGTAACAGGTAAGGTAAGAGATTCAGAATTGCTAGAATATTATTGTTCCTACTTTTTTGGGGGAAAAAAAAGGCAACCAATGTCATTAACTGATGTTCCAATTCAACACACTTCTTAAGAGTCGAGCAATAAAGTGCATTGTTATATGTCTGTGACCCTGAATTTAAGTTCATCGTTTGTTCAATGTCATTAACATCCGGCAACTTATCTCGAGGTTCCTTTAGTGTTACATCCTCGACTTCAAGTGGTGGAGATTCCAACACCTTGTCGGATGGAACACAAGGAATTTCCTTAGTTACTTCTTTTACCAACACATGTTTGTCATCTCATGGCTGAGAAGAAGACCTATATGGTGCTCTAGAACCCGTTCTTGATGGTCTTGTTGGTTTTGCAGGATTTCGCATTATAGTTCAACCACTATACTTGAAGATATAGGTATTGTCTTTGTTATAATGGCTTGCACCAACATTATAAATCCACGGGTGACCAAGTAGAACATGTGCTACATCCGTAGGTAGGACATCACCATATATTTTATCAGAATAGGCACCCATTTGGGTAGGAACCAAACATCTCTCTAAAATGGTCAAGGAAGTTTCATTACCCAGGCAATCTTATATGGTTGTGGGAGAGGTTTGGGTTGAAGTTTCATTCAAAGAACAGCTGATTTAGACATTGCATTTACTGAACTTCCTTTGTCAATGATGATCATGTTGTCAAATCATCAAAATGTGCCCCCTTTGCCTACTTGAGTGCATTTCTTTCTTTTTTTGGAAGGTAACTCATACAACCAATTTTGTCCCAAATAGGACTTGAACCCTTGACCTTTCATTGTAGAAAGTAGAGAACAAAGGACTAGGCTACACCCTTGATGGTAGTGAATTGAGATACTACAGAGCTTACAATGACTCTATCATTCCACTTTTCTGTAGTGTAAATGAAAGCATTCCTTCCCTTCCAAACATACCAACATATAAAGGAGGATAGACTCAAAATATTATCCTTTTCATCAAAGTTTTTCCAATTCTAATTAAGAAAATACCACCAATTAGAAAATGAATTACAAGGACCTAAATGTACCTCAATCCTAAGAGGAGAGAGTTTCCAAGATTCGAATGGAGTGAGGACATATCAATAGCAAATGCTTCATAGACTCTTGCCACACCTTCTGCAAATGGAATCTACAACTATGCTTTTCTGCTTTAAAGCTTCCAAGACTACAAGTTTTTGGTGACAGCACTTCCAAATAAGTGCTTGATCTTTTCTTTGGTATGCTCAATTTAGAACTTGATTTCCCAATATTCTGATTCTTTTATTTGTCTTTATTGACGGTAACAATTAGGTGATAAGCAGTTTTAACTGTGAATGAGGCTTTAATCAGGTATTCCTTCAATGATTTTTAATTGATATAATCAATTTTGAAACCTGTTGCAACTGAGATGTAGCCTTGGTGACTTGAACATTTTGAGCCTCCCATGGAATTCATCTGTCCCTCGACTCCCTCGAAATGTTGATTTGAGTTCCATCACCAACTTTCCATGTGTTACCTTAAGCTAAGTAATGAACGAATTCGACCAAGGCTTAGTTTGTCAATTTTAACCAACATTAAATTTTGGTTTCACTATTTATACCACCCTCTATATCGAACCCCTCATCTTTTCGAGTTGATAAGCGATCAACTTCAGTAACTACTAGTCAAATCGAAGCAAATTAACTAAGCTAAATTAAGATACAAATAAAATAAGTTAATTTTACAAAATGTCAAGCCCTTTTAAAATTTGTTAAATTTAAAGCTTCTGTGACTTAAACTTTTTTTTTTTTTAAATTATTTTTTTGGGTGCAAAATCTCAGATCCTAACTAGATTGACTTGATTAACAAAGAAGTAAACAATCCAAATATAGTAAAAGAGTAACTAAGAGGCAATATACCCTTAATTAGGATCTGTTTGGTCATTTGGAATTGGGCCTTTAATTGGAATTAATATTCCTATTCCAAATATGTTGTTTGGTTCTATTAAATAAGTGTGGAATTGGAATTCATTTTGAATTCCACATGTACCAATTTCAAAATTACAATTCCAAGTGAAGGATTGATATTTCTTATTCAAAAGGACCGTGGAATTCAGGGAAAAAAAATTAGCCGGATCGTTTCATAACTCGCTCTACTCCAAGCTCTTTATCCATAGGTTGATCATGAGGACTCAAAAAACAAGCCCTAGGCCCCAAACTTCATAGTACAATGATCTCCACATTCAATCTGATATATAGGGTTTCAATCTTTAGGTTTCAATAAGGCATTGTAAATTTCTCAAACAGATTTGGTTTCGATTTTCACACTGCCAATTCATAGCAGATCTCTCTCTGTCCATTCTAATTCAGGTTTCTTTCTGAAGGTATATATATATATATATATATATATATATATATATAGGTTTTAACTGCAAAAAATCCCCCTTAACTTTTACCTAGGAAGCATATATACTTCTACAAGAGTGATGTACCCGTATCACATATATGTCGGATGCCGATACTCTACGGATACGTGTCCAATACTTCTTGAATGTATCCATATTTGTAAAATATATTTTTAATTCTAACAAGTATCTGATACTTCTTAAATACTCTGACCACATATTCGATACTTCTTAGATACTTTCACCACGTATTCTATACTTCTCAGATACTTCATAGCATATTTTTAACAAGTTTCGAACATTAAGTAACTTTTTCAACAATAATATAATGGTATAATTGTTAAGAAAAAATCAAAATTTATTAAGTGATGAATAAGGATGCTTGTTTTATGTGTTGTGAAACAAACTCAGATGTTATACTAATGATTCATTTAGATTCTCAATATTTTTCAAAAAATTAACCAAAAATTTATTTTTTGAATATATAAAAATAAATTTAAATTTTTTATTGTAGCATCATACAGTACTCATATCATAAATTTTTTTAAAATTTGCTGTATTGACGTATCCATATTGTGTCGTATTTGTATATGTGCTTCCTAGTGTTTCACAAATTTGCCAATACTCTCTAGTGATGCAACCAACACCCTCAACAATTTGGAAGTTGCTACATACCGCCAACCCGTTAAAGTGATATTAACATACATCTAATTTACTATTTACCTCCTAAGAAATAAAAAAATAAAAAATAAAAAAATAAAGAAAAATAAATTAGATTAAATAAAATTTAACATTGGTTGTAAAATGACGAAAGAACCCTTAATGACAAAAAATAAAGTAAAATAGGGCTATATAAATATATATGATAGAAATTAAGTTATTGAGAGGGAAAGGTGTCATTTTTTATTCTGAGCCAAGCAAAGATGTTAAAAGTGGATGCGATCATGAGAAATGGGGAATGGAATATGCCACCAAACATCAACATGGAGTTGCTGCAAGCTGAAATTTTGGAGCATGGCAGGCCTGACCATAATAGATGACAAGCACGTTTGGGGACTGACTGGGAGTGATTTCTCTGTAAATTCTATGTGGGAAATTTTGAGGCATTAGAGTGACCTTGTTCCTTGGAAGAGGCATTAGAGTGACCCTGTTCCTTGGAAGATCTTCTGCTGGCAGCATTATTTTATGGATAACTATAAGAGGTAGATTGTATACTCAGGACAAGCTCCTCAAATTTAGAAAGATAAATAGGATGGTTTGGTGTTTTTTGCAGGTCAAATATGGAGGAACATTCCCATTTATTTTTTCAGTGCACTGTAGCTTAATAATTTGGAGACTGGAGTTACCTGCTCACATGGCCTGCGATGGGGTAGCAATCTTAATAATACTATCAAATTGGCTGTAGAAACAGCTAATTATGTTTTCTGGAGAGAGAGAGGAATGAGAGGCTCTTCTTTAACAACTTAATAGATGTGCGTAGTATTCAGTCTGATTTAAGAGATGTGGGTAGTTTTTAGTCTGACTTAAGAGATATGGGTAGTATTCAGTCTAAGATCACGTCCCTTGTTAAATTCAAGGTGTGGTAAATGGGAAATTTTAGAAAGGTTGATGATATAGCAGGTGGTTTTGAAGTGTGTGAGAATTGCCCATCTCAATTTTTATATCTTGATGTGGGTTTGCTTTTGCTTTGTTCGGTTGTGTGGGTTTGCTTTGCTTGGTTTTTAATCCTTGGTGGTTTTTTGTTATGTCTTTTGGTCTTTTTGTTAGTTTCTTGTGCATGCTGTGTGTTCATGTTATATCGGTTGCTGTATGCTTTGTTTTCTTATTTCTCGGGGCATGCCCCTTGTAGTTTTTGCATAGTGTTTTTTTGAGTTAATGAAAACGATTGGGCGTATCTGGATATATTTGGTATCTGGAGTCTGGACATTTTCATAACTGGTTTTGCGAAAAAAAGAAAGTTCATGGGGAAATTTTATTTATTTATTTTTATTTTTTGAAATTGTGAATGTTGAGGGGTTTTTCCCCTTCGTATTTACCCTATTTATAGAATATATAGGTAAGTTTTATAGACAAAGTTCATTAACATCCAAACTGTGGAAAAGATAATAGTTATAGTCAACCTTGTTTGAATTCCATTGAAGCCAAATTTTGCCTAGAGAAAGAGTGATTGTAGTTATGCAAGAACGCCTAGGAATGTATCTATGTATAGAATCCACATTTTTCCATGCCTACTTTTGCATCTAGTACTGCAAGTACGTCAACCTAATTTTCTTTTCTTTTGAGAGTTTTCAGGGTTTTTGATGCTTTGGTTAACAACTCTAGCTTCCGGGAGGTTGGTGGACTAGCAATTGAATCACTGTACGTTACCATCAATCACAACATCAACTTCATGATCTTCATGCTCCAGTGGACGGAAAATATTTTGGACTGCAAAGTGAATGGACGTACATCATCATGCAGGGGTTTGCCAATGGCACTTGAGATCGACGTAAGAGGAATTCAATCTCTTCCAAGGACAGCTTAATTAATTTGCAGGTGTCCATTATGGAGGCTTCAAGTCCTTCTAGGTCTCTTTTCCTTAAAAATAAAAAATCTGATCTAAGTAACTTCAAGGGTTGCTTGCTGAGTGGAGCAAGTAAGCTGGTTGGGCTGTGTTTCTTTGAATTGTCGTTTGATGGGAAAAACTGGTTTGGATGGAAGGCTGTGGGAGGCTTTGGAGTGAGAGTGAAAAGGTAATATGTATGAGTTTGGCTAAACGGGATGGTGGTGGTGGTGGTGGAGGGGCTTGAAGTATTGAAGTTTGATGTCGTGGTCGAGATGGTGGTGATGGAACTTGGGTCAGTTTTTCATTTCACCAAGGTGTACGGGGCATTACCTATTGCCCTAGCTGGTAGTGCAACTCCCTGAAGTCTAAACAGGTATGCTTTGAGTCCCAAAGATCATGTTAGTAGACAACCGTGGAGACATGTGTGGACCCCATCATGTGATGGGGCTCACAGATAATCCGGTGAGTAGATGATTTCCTGGACTCTCGCAATGAATAGCAGCGCTCTACAAGTGGAATCAGAACTTTTTTTTATTGTTACCAGAAAGATAAATGGCCAGAAAAAACACACTCCATGACGTAGTTATACACAACATATAATACCTTATTTAGTGCACTTCTGTGCAGTCACTTAGTATATATACGGTTCCGCACAAGCACCAATGCTGGAAGTTTTTTGATAGGATAAACTTTTATTTAAGAAAGCACAATAAGTGAATACAATTGAATTTATATATATATAGCCACTCTCAAATCCTAGTATATTATTTTCTCTCACTACTTGTCACAAAAGGATTCAAGAATATATATATAATTCTTTAATCTTTCAAAATACATCAACAGAGAAAACAAAAGAAAACTCTAAAATCACACAAATTACAAGATACATAATAAATTAAACATTCATTCCAATACTTGTCTTCTCATCTTTCAACAAGTTGATTAATATTTGGTATAGGCTTCCAACTGATATCTTACTGGAGATTCAAATCATCTATATATATATATATATATATATATAAGTCATCCTTATATTTAGACTCCTCAGGATGTAACTGAGAATGGATTAGGAGGCGCAAGATTCATAATGGGTCCAGGTGTTGGTGCTGGTTTTGGTGGAGGTGGTGGTGGGCTTTGGTTTCCAAAATCATCCGCTGTCACAAACAAGTAGTGTCGAGTCTCTGCATACAGAAAATGGAGAATTACATGTTACCAACCAATAGACCCTTGATCCAAGTCATTCTTTTCTAAAAATAATATATATATATATATATATATATATATATATATATGTAACAAACCTTAATTTCCTGCATAATATATGTATTCGTCAGATGTTCAGAGTTATAGACTTAAGTGTAGACGAAGTGTTGAACGTACCCTTGAACAATTCTCGTCAAGTATAAAAAAGAGGGATTAATATTTAAATAATTACCTGGTAAAATAATTAGAGTTCTTGCTTCAGCCATAATTAAGGAAATTCCTAGAAAAGTGAGGAGGGAGATGAAAAACATTGCGCTCCTGATGAAAGACTTCATGTTTAATCCTGATTAGCATACAATATATGAGAGAGGAGAACATTTTAAGTTAGTATATATAGAAGTTAGATATATACAGTGATGTGCATGTGGTGGGTAAAGCATAGACAATAGTAAGACGTGTTGGTTGATGCAGGACCACATGCATGCATGTTTATTGCTTTCGAGTCCATTAAATAACTTGGAACACTATTTAAATAAACTGCAACAGTTTTCCCAACTGAAGAACTTCGGGGGAAGAGGATGGAAATAGAATATCAACACAATTTAATTATCTTACCAAAATATATATATATATATATATATATATATATATATAGCTAAGAGAGGAATTAGCTACTCATGGCAATGCAAGATATCATCTATGTTATTGTGATCTTCATCATCATAGACTGCATTTCTCTTATCAGGATATTCACCTTCAATAACTACATAAACCCTAAAAGCCGCCACTAGATCTGAATAGAAAACTGAGATAAAAATAAAGAGAATCGCGAGTGATTTCCTATGGCCTTGTGCCTCCTTTTATAGAAGAATTGACTTCTAATAAGGTTTGGATGGACTTTAAGTCTTCTGGGATCATCTGGGCCTGTCTAGGATGAAATATGACATAATTAAAACAAATTCCGCAACTTAAAATTCTGACTTATCAACAATATTGGCTTGAGCCTAGAAGCTTCGGCTCAAGCTATTTGGGCAATTGCTTGAGCTATTTGGAAGGGTGCTCGAGCCCAACTTCTATACTTAGCCAAATTTTTTCAAATCTTTTCTGAAACGTCTTTTTCATCAATGCTTAGAATATTTTTGGGATTCTTCTTTAACAGTGCTCGATCACCTTGATTAGGGCTCGAGCTTTTGGACTCCGACTCGAGCTTTTTGGGAAAAGGCTCGAGCTTTTTGTCTTTGGCTCGAGGTCCTGGCAACATGGAATTTCCGAAGCGTCTTTTCATATTTCGAGACATATTCTGCTCAAGCTTTTTGGCAAAGGCTCGAGCACCTTGAGTTTTGGCTTGAGCCTAGAGATTTCGGCTTGAGCTATTTTGCCTTTGTGGAATTTCTTACTTCTTGGTTTTGTGCTTGAGCTAAGGGACTTAGGCTCGAGCTGTGGAACTTAAACTTCTCCAAAATTCACTATTTTGACTCTAAGCTTGCTTCAGATGATCGGTAACGACTTTGTAAGTTTCGATATTAGTCTTTTCATCTTGAAGTCCTTGTTTTAACCGTTTCTTTGGGTAAGTACCTACAAACACGAAGTAAACATAAATCAGTCTAACAATAGATTAAAGTATCACTTTAGGTCCTAACATACGTATATTTAGGGGCTCGAATATACAATATTCAGCTTTTATCATGGGTGACCACTTTATAAGTAGCTTAGTCACGTTTTGTAGAGAGGATTGGTTTCGTCAGGGATTCGCTTGATAGGCTAGACTGATTGTGATTTGAGAACGTCATAAGTATTGATTCTTTTAGGATACAAGTGAGGTGTTAGACCGGAGTTCTGGGCTGTGATCCTTGTATCTTGAGGAGCTTTCGATTTGGTTATTGTGAGGTTTGAGTCTTAGAGACTTATGAATTGGATGAGATGGGTTTGATCTAGTACTTGGGGGTTTAGGCCTTAAGCATAACGGTGATGTCATTGTTGTTTAAGTATGGGATTGGCCAAAATGGACAAGCCAGAAATTTGTGGACCATGCCTAGCTAGAAACAAAATGTCAAGATACTATTAAACTTAGGGTAACGGTTATTCGTGTCATTAGATACACTTGTTGCTTCAATAATCTTCATTAATAGCCTGGATGAGGATATGTCATAGGCTTGTACTAGACACTGGTGATGCCACCATACATATGAGGATGCTATGGAAGGGTGTTAGATATTGATGATGCTACAATGCTGACAAGTATGTGTGGGCGGGTCCTAGACACCGACGAGGCTACCATTCTTGTGCGTATGTGTGAACAGACACTAGTCATTAATCAGACAAATATATCAACGAGAGTGTGTGTTATTTAATGATTGGTGCAATTGAGGTTTGGAAGTATTCTTTTAGAACGGTATTGGATTGATTGGAAGCAACAATAGTATTAGTGATAGTGCTGGTAGTACGGGGTTCTTCGAGATTGTTAAGCAGGTTGATCTTGAGTGTTTGGTTTGGGTATCATAGGTAATGATGATAGAGTCGGTAATAGAATACTTGACAGCGTGATCGGTAGGTTTGCTTGGGGTTCAATGTTTGTGTGGCTGTCTTGCCAGTAGTGGCAAATTAAAGTTCAAGGTTGATCTTGACATGGTGGGATGGTATGTTGGAGGTTGTTAATTTCTTTCAAGTCTTTTCAAGGTTAGCAGTTGGCTAGAGATTCTCGGCAAAGATTTCTCTTTTTGTGATGTGGTGATACAGAAAATGGGTAACGAAACAGTGGTCTAATCAGGAGAATGTGAGAATGGCGTAAGGATAAAGGTCAGTATGTTTTTCTCTTTCAGGAGGGTAAATTTTGAGGACGAAATCTTTTAAAGAAAGGTAGATTGTGATGTCCCAAAATTTTCGGTATTTTTCGGCTATTTTTCGTTTTATTTTATTTGTGCATAGGGATACGTGCCACAGTGTTTTGGGAGTTGTTTGGGACGTTTCTTCGATCAGGTTTAGAACCTTAGAAATTCATTTGGGTTCATTTTGGTCAGTTTTGATTTTCGTGCCCGGGGTGTTGGGTGGGCCCCGCGGAAGATTTTCGTGTTCAAGAAATTTCTTGACATCACTGTGTTCTTCGTTTACATTGGGATTATCCATTTTGCACTGCGTTGTGTCATTTGCAAGTGTTCAGAACTTAAACGGACTGTTTTAACTTTTTAAGTGGGAGGCGGAACCCACAATTTTTACTTTAGTATAAAAGGGTGGCTTAAAATCTTTTTCTCTCTTAGCCGTGTCTCTCTATCTCTCTCCCACCAATTCCTTTTATTTTCTTTCCTTTTTTTTATTGTTACATGCTTCGGGAATAGATTTCATCTAGTCTGGGTGAGATTTTGGCAACGCCGTAAAAGGAAAGTTTGATGAGCGTGTCGAGAGCTACGCACCTGTGGTTTTGGATTTTGATTTAGAGTACTTTAAGGTTTTTGGGTGAGGTCCGATTTCAAATTTTGGAGGCACCGTAGAGGGATTAATTGCTCTCATTCGCCTCCTATTTCATCCTACGGAGACAGTTTTACGAGAGAGGCACTTTGGTTTCGGTGGGATTAGGATTTTCATCCTAATTTGAGGTAAGGGTGTCTAATTCGTGGAGTCATTGGTTGTGTGTGAGTCCCTATGTGTTAATTCGTTGATATAGCATGCTATGAATATATATATATATATTATTGTAGAAAATTTATTAAGTTTATAAAAATTTAAATCATTAACATGCTTAAGTGGTGTTAAATTGTGAAAATTACATATCATCTATGTGGAAGTGTGATAAACATGCCTTGTATGATGTTAGTTGTGTATAATTTATGCTATCTATGTGGAAAGGTGACAAGCATGATTATATGATGAATTTGTCCCATTAGTATGCTAGAATGGCTATGTGAAGAAATTGCTAACATGCTTTAATGATAGAATTGATAAAGTTATGTATTTCATAGATTATTTTTTATTAAATTTAAGCATGCTTGGTAATTGATAATTGATTTTGTGAATTAAAATGTTGAACCATGTGTTGTAGAAGCATGCTAATGTAATATGGTTTTTTCTTATAATTAATGGCATGTTCATTCTTGACTCTAGCTATGAGTCTAGTCATTTTAAGTTGGAAGGCGAGCATTTATTGAGGTATTTTTAGCTCATGCATTGAGTGGGAAATGTGTGAGTGAAAGGATGATGTGACAAGGATAAGATTCAAGTTAAGGAAGATTGTGATGGACGGAAGACAAACTGTATTCTTGTTTCCGAGATTTCTGTAGTTAGGTCCTAAATGGTTGGATGAACGGTGGTCTCACGCTAGGGATAGCTAGCCAGTGTTCCAAATGGTGGACAAGCGGTAGACTTTTGCCATTTGGAGTTAGAGGCCTCTAGTGTGGATTTTTATAGTGAGGTGGATTGGTTGGGAAATTGTAGTTGTGTGTAGGATGAGATCATGGGATTAGTTCGGGAAGAGTCATGGCATAAGCATGGATTTGCATTGATAGTTCTTGTGATGGACTTATGTGTGTGAATGTGGTTAAGTTACTACATGTATATTGTTGCTAATTGCATGTATAGTGATTCCGTTATTTTCCCTGCAATAGTATGATCATCCTATCTTAACCTCCTTTTCTTTATGTGTTTACTCACGGGGCTTTAGGAGCCATGCCTTAGGTGTACTTT